GTTTTGAGAAAAAATAATGAATTTTGAGAAAAAAAATTTTTTTGAGAAAAAAGACGATAATTTTGAGATCGCCGTTTAAAAATTTTCTTTAAAAATTTTGTTTAAAAATTTTTGTTTAAAAATTTTTTGTTTAAAATTTTTCTGTTTAAAAATTTTTGTTTAAAAATTTTCTATTTAAAAATTTTGATTAAAAATTTTCTTTATAAAAATTTTGAAAGTAAATTTAAAGGAAGCAAAGATGTGCTGCCCTCTTACCTGACATTTGCTCCCAAAATTTCGATTACAAGCGACTGTATCTCTTCATCACTAATTCGCTTTATGTGACCATTTCGAACCTGAGAAAAAAAAATTTAATACACAAACCCCGTTATAAAATGCCTTATCATACACATAAAATTCAAGTGAAATCCTTCTATTCTTCTATTTAATAAATGCACCGAAAAAAATAGGGCTGAATTAATCCACTTCGTTAATATCTGCCAAACAATTCCATCAATAAGATAATCAATCCCTCTACGATTCGTTCATTCGTTTCGATGGTAAATTGGTACTGGCATCGGCAATTTTCAAAAAAACTTTCTAAAGAGGAGGCTATCAAAAGCTTTGCCAGGGAATGCTTAGTGTTGGTATTAAGTAATTACTACTGGAATTATCTCCGAATGCTTTCATTTTTTAGAAATAATAAAAAGGAAGGCGTTTTGATTTTAAATCAGCATTAATTTACCTCAAAAATAGGTATTCTGGGGGATTCTTGCGTACCTCCCCTTCCCCCCGTTTCTCCCTCCTCCCTCTCTGCTCCTCCCCCCTTCCCGAGCACCCCTCTCGGGTTTGTACAGTATTATATAGATGTCCTCCCCTTTTCCCTCAGACTTGCTCGAGGGTTTTTCCGCATTCCCTCATTTCATTACATTTTTTATATTATTCTAAAAAAGTAAATGTATAGTTAGAAAAACTGCAAAAACGTACTTATTTTCACAAAATGATTCTCTAATTATGCAGCTGGAAACTCTGACCATTGGTCAGCGAGGCAGCCCTGAATAGAGCAGGTGGGTAAAGGACGAGGCACAAAAAATTACCTTTTTATCCCAGATCTGCAACGGTTTGCTGCCAATACTGTAGAGTACGGAGAGAAGACCGCTTTGAAAAGTGTTGTGGAACATTTTGTCTGAAAAAAAATACCATATTAGTCGTGGTCATATTAGTTTTTACAGATTTTAACCGCGGAAAGAAGTCCTATGTAAATGCCATAAGTATTCTGAGTGGAATTCGTCTTCAGCTTTCCTCAGCTCAGCTTTACGTTGTGGTGGCTAGCGAGGTCAAATTTTAGCAAATTAACCCAAATATTCGAGTTGCTATTTAAAAACAGCAAGGAAGAAACCCCAACACAGCGTGGAAGGACTAGCCGATGTGCTGTGTTGTCTCATCCCTTAGCTGTAAACACAGACAGAGTAGTGAGCACGAGTGGGGGAGGAGGGGGCGGTAATCACCGGCACGGCCTTACCTCTCAACCACTATGTGGAAAATAAGCTTATTTTTGTAACGATGAGACTAGAACAGGAAGTAATTATTGATGAGCTAGAAGTGGAAAAACTGATGAAACGGATGAAAGAAAAGACAGTATTTAATCCATCTCAGATTTTCCATTTAACCACCGACTACTATTTAACCTCAGATTTTGCAGTATTTCAGTTTTCGCCGGTATGATACCTTATCGAGGTCCAAAAGCGACAGCATTCAACACGAGGTGGTAACAATTCAACACAAAAACTTTGGAAGAAAGGAAAGTTTCAGCCCATTAAGTCGTATACATTCCTGTTCAGCACCATAACTGGACCTCGTCAATACGACGATCGTGGTATCGAAAATGAAAATTAACAACAGGATGGAGAAAAGTGAAAAAAGTAGTAAAAGGAAAAAAAGAAAAACAAAAGTGAATATTAGGTCATCAAATAAACAGGGAAACAGAAACCCATCAATGAGGAAACCACCAATAGCCCCGAGACTTTCATGCAACCCGTTCCAGGAAATCCCAAATTCGGCCGATCCAGGTTTTTTGCGACCGGACCGTAACTCCCCGAATTTGCGACCCGGCCAACCCCACGATGTATAGGAAGGCTGCAGGCGAAGCGGATGGGGTGTTCCTGTTCGTTCGGTCCCTTCAGTGGCGAAGTGGTTGTGGGACATGCTGGGGGAGGGGGAGAACCCCGCCATCCCCTGTCGTACTGACGAAGTCCAGTTGTGGTACTGAAATGGGACGTATACGACTTAATAGACTGAAACATTCCTGTTCAAATTATATTGATTTTTTTTCTTCATATTTCCCACTATTACAATTTACTTTTCGAAAAAATTCCAGGAATTGCGATTATCTGTTACTATTATTATCATTGTTCTTACTATAATTATGATCATCATTAGTATTTACTAAGGATAATTCCTTTAATTCCTTACTATAATTATTTTTAGCGTTATCATTATTTCCACTACTATCACTTCTAGGCACAAACTACGTATTATTTATTACAATTATTATCATTATTCTTACCAACAATTACTGTTATCACTATCACTGTAAGGATTAGTCCTTACTGTAATTATTATTATCGTTATCATTATTATCATTATTCCTACTGCTGTCACTCCTGGGTATAAACTGCGTATTATTTATTACAATTATTATCATTATTCTTACTGTAATTATTATTATCACTATCATTCTAAGGATTAGTCCTTACTGTTAATTATTATTATCGTTGTCATTATTATCATTATTCCCACTATTATCACTTCTAAGTACAATATTTGGCAAGGGAGAGAGAACTATCGACAGTTTTGCCAGCGAGTGGTTGCTGTTGATACTAATTTGCAGCTGAGGTTACTTCCGGGTGATCCGGCTTCTTATAGGAGTGAACATTTGGGGGGAAAGGAGAAGGGAGGGGGAGGGGGGGGATGTATTAACCCTTGATACTTAATTTATTTGTAGAAAGTACGAATTTTTAAAATTTTTACAAATGAGCACGGAGATTAGTATTTTAGGAGGAACCTTTCCTCCTCCTCCCCCCCCC